CTCACCGAGGACACCATCGGCGGGGCTCTCTATTTCAGATGTCCGTCTCTCCTTCACGGATCTCTGGGATATACTAGAGGGCACCAAGAACGAGGCGGGGGGGGGGGGGGGGGCGGACAGGGGTCACGCCACGGTCGCCTGTGATTAAAAACGACCGGGTCATGGAGAATCCACGGGGGAAGGGTGTCGTGACCCAGTGCCTGAGTCACCGATGGATTCGGAGATTCCATAAACCTCCCATAAAAACTTATGGCCTGGAAATGGATCTGAATGACAAGGTGACCCTGTGGGCTTCATGCGCTGCTGGGAACAATACAAGGAACTAAAAGATACACAGGAACCAAGAATATATAACAGAACACGGCAGAAGATACGAGACAGACTGGCAGATGGGTGTTTCCAGAGTCCCGCGGCTGGGGTCTAACGCCAAGCTAATACACCGGAATTCCTCATTCAAAAATCTGGCATCCGAAATGACCAAAGCAATTATTTTCCGGCAAGCCGACACTTGACGGCATCCCAAAGTCCGCGTGTTGCGTAACGGAACTTTCCCGCGGTCGTCCAGCTTTGGGTCTGTCTTCTCCGTGTCGTTCCAAATATGAAACCTGTGGACTGACCCCAATCAACTTCCAGTTCCTCCGGCACATCACACCTCCCAAAATAAAACGGAACAAATAATATATAGAATAAGGTGCCGGATGATCCAGGCAGCTGCATGACTGCTCTGCCTCTGACTCACAAACGTGGTATCAATGTCAGACCCGTTCCCGGTGTCCTTTTAGCTTGCATTTACCAGCTATATTTTTACCGCATTTCTTTCTGTGGACATTTCATGTGAATCTCTTCCGCTGCTACATGTTTATGTCTACATGTGTTTACAGGACATGCCCCTCCTCATTTAAGGGTCTCTTAAAACAAAATCATCTTTACCCGTAAACAGGAAGACAGAGTCATGCTTAGTGGCCAGAGAGGACAACCTGACCACGGAAAAATACAAAAGGAATTTCCCTTTTCCTCCCAGAAACTGATTTTTTTTTTTTTTAATAAATGAGCCTAATTTTGGAATTTTTTCTGCTAAGTCATACTAAACTGCAGCCAGATCAGAACACCGACTCTCTTTGAACACGTGGACAGAGAGGACAACGCTTCATAAATACTACAAAATGATATGCATGTGTGAGTGAATGTTGTGTGATTGTGCCCTGCGATGGGCTGGCTCCCCCCTCCTGGGTCGATCCCCGCCTCGTGCCCGTAGCTTCCGGGATGGGCTCCGGACCCCCCGCGACCCAGAAGGATAAGTGGTTTGGAAAATGGATGGATGGATGGTCTCATAAACTAATCAACTCATCTTTGATAAATAACACTCAAAAAATTATTTTTATAAAAATGCATCACTCCCCAATCGTTTATAGCTGAAATAAATAAGGTTCACTTTGATTCTGATCCCTTTCAGATGCAGGGAGCTGGGAAACCCCAATTTATGGAACTGGCTTCGAAGAATCTGGTTCCACTAGCATCTAAACACTGAAGCAAATTTTGCTTTTGATTCCTTAGTCTGCGATCAGGGAGTGAAACTGTCGATGCAGCGGAATGAGAGGGGGGAAGAGGCCGGGGGCGTGTCTTCTGCCGGCCTTCCCACCATCACCCAGGTTTCTCATGAGCTTATAAACGCCACAAGCGGCAAAACCAAGAAACATTAGGCTTTGGCTGCGTTTCATGACCACCGCAGAAAATGCACCACTTCATTAGATACACCCTTTAGCCTCCAGAAACACTTCAAGGGATAGCAAGCTGCGTGCTCAAAGAGGCCTTCCTGCTGTTGCCACTGGCCTTCCTGTTAGCTTTAACGAGTCTGGCCGTTCGCCTGGACCGTTCTCGTTAACAAGGCGCTTTCAGCCACAGAAATTCTGTATATCAGTTTTTCCCAATCCAGTCCTCGGGGACCCAAACTGTCCACGTTTTGGGAAGCTCTGCACCAGACACTGTGGTCCATGTACATTCCAGTAATGGAGCCGTTTCCAAGATGGTGGAACCACCATGAAATCAACAATCACACCAAGTCACTTCAACCTATTCTAATGCTGAACCAACCAGCATGTGAATCTCCTGACCCCGCCCACGTGCCGCTTGCAAACTTTACATTCATTTAGTTAGAAAGTGCTCTTCTTCACTACTAGTGAGGAAGATGATACACCATAAGCAGACAGCCATCAAGGAGCCGACTGAAAAACTGAGGAGCTCCTAGGCTGAGCTTCTACTGAATGACCAGTAAGAACAACGAGCTACTGAAAATATCTGTAGAGCTGGTGAAATCAAAGGACCTGGTCACTACTACAGAAAAATACAAAAAAATAACTAAAAAGAGCATCCAGTGTTGCCCCCTGGTGACTGGCTGTTTGCATTTCAGATCAGGTGGATCCAATAACACCCCCCCCCCCCCCCAAAAATGCATGCATCCCATTACTCACGAAAGTTCCGACCAAAAGACTTCACAGTCTCTCCCTTCGATCCAATCTTAATTATTTCTCCCAGCCACATTTCAAAATACTGTACGACAAAAGACCTCCCTCCCACACTGCCTCCCCGAGGGAAATCAATTTTCACACATAGCTAATATGCCATGTTGATTTCACGATGATCGTGCTGAAGTGTAGCCTGCAGTATCAGCCTGAGACTGCATTTTACTTACATAAAATAGCAACACGCTCGCAAAATATCACGACTAAGCCCAGTATTTCAGGCAGAACACAGCTGATGGCTGGAATATGCATAAACACTGTGATGTGATGTACTGTGAGCGAATCCGAAATTTGGTGTGAAATCCGCCTGTATCCTGTGGCTCAATACCAACCCTAACTGTTGCCTTCTCACAAATCAGAAATGCATTGTCACTGCATCAAGGGCCTAATGATGCGAATTTATCACTGCATTGTGTGGCATTAGACATTTCATCCACAGGGTACGGTAATTTCACTATTTCAAAGGTTTGTCAAGGCCTCTGTATTAAAAGATGGCTTCAGAAACTTGTTTCTTTACCTCTATTTAAAAAAAAAAAAAAGTTGTTAGATGTGTAATAAATCATTTTCCCCCTTCCCATGAACGGACATGAATGTGACTCATATTCCAGAAATAACAGTAATTCTGCCAGATGCAATTATCCATTTAACCTTCTGCTATCACATTATTCATGCGCCCAGCGATATGTTAAATATTTTACAGTATAAGTTTTGTTAAATGTTCCACGCTTCCGTTTCCAAACCATGTATTATTATATATTATTATAGCTAGAAATACCACCTTGACACCTTGGTATTTAAAAAGTAGGCAGAGGGTGAAATTCTGCATTAATGCACCGCGGACTCTGAAGGTTTCCCTCCTCCGTGGGCGTCTCTGACATCATCAGCGCTGGCAGACGCTTCTACAGAAGCAGGGAACCTAAGAAACGGCAGCAGAGCGTGGAGGGACGGGGTGGCGGGGGCCTGTCACGCTCCCGCCGAAGAATCGCTGTGGCGACACGCCGAGTGGAGAGTGCAAGGCCCTCACACAAAGGATTGAGGGAACACCCCCGCAGAGCTCGGTGGCTCAAAGGCGCGTCGAGACGAGGGTGCATTTGAAATCCTTCAGAATAACCTAACTTTCGGTCCACTTCATCTGTACAGAGGGGTCTTGGTCTAGCCACTCATGAGCTTCCCAGAATCCTCCACTGGACAGTGCGTGCTGTGACTATGCCCCAGCCTGGCTCCGACTAACAGAGCGAGCTGGGATTCACACCAGCCAAACTGTTCAGCACAAGGTGGCGTGTGACCTTTACCAAGCTGCCCCCCGATTCTCTTCAGGGCAGGCGGATGGCATGCCCCCCCCCACCCAAATAACCCCACACAGGCGGACAAAAGAACCATCTGGGATTGATGGTGAATGCTTTACGAAGCTCTCATCTATAATGCACTATAGATACCTTTATAATGCATTATAATAAGGTATCTATAGTGCATTATGGATGAGAGCTTCATAAGGCAGTCATAATGCATAATAAACATAGCTAAAATGTGTTATGCCTTTTTATAAATATTTATATCCATGTTTATAAAACACTATGAATGTGTTTATAAATGACTTAAAACATGGCCTTAAGTAAAGTGTTACCAGATAAGGTTATGTGTGGTTTTAAATTTCTCGGCAGAAAACAAAGTGTGGCACTTTTCTACGCACCAGAAAAACATAAAGACGCATACGGAGTAATTATTCCCAAATAGGCACAAAAAATGCAGCATGTGACATTTTCCAGTGTTGCAGTGCCACTCTTGTGGTCGGGCACACGGCAGGGGCACGCGGCAGGGGCACGAGGCAGGGGCACGAGGCAGACTCACCAGCAGCTTCCTGCTGCGATGGTATGGCTGGATGATGGGCAGCCCCAGGGGCGTCACCCACTCCACCGTGTGGCCGGACTTGGCGATGAGCCGGGCGCTCTCAGTCAGCCAGTCCTGGAACAGAGGGGAGCAAGATTCCTGCTTCAAGCTGCAAGCAGTTATGGTCACTTACGTATCTGGGTGTCACAGACAAGCTAAACTACACAGGAGGAAGTGAAAGCATACAGAAACAGCACTGATGAACATCTTGGTGCACATACAGGCAATCGACTGTAGGGGGCGCTATATAAATTGGCAGAATTCTGGTTTGAGGGTTATTGTCATGTAACCTAGAGGGGTGGAGCTTGGAAGGAGAGGGTGGCAGGCTCTGCTTGGGGGTCTGAACAGGTCGAGTCACAAGCGCATCGATGGTGGGGGTGCAGAGCTGGTCAAAATTTTCCACTTTTCCACAAAACTGATGTGGCCAAAAGTGGACTTAAGCATTGTCAAGGTCTGCAGACAGCAATGGCAGAAAGAATCATCTAGAAACTGTGTGACCTGACATATTTTTTTATGGAAGATGCAAGAAACACAAAAAACAACTCTGTAAAACTCCAGTTAATATTTTATATATTACCCTAAATATATCTTAACATCCTGCACACCTGTGTAACCTCAATATATCAAATATAGCAAATAATACATATTATTACAGATACTATAAGTCATTTACTGCCAGTTAACTTACTGCAAAATCGTCAAGTTCTGTTAGAAAGCTTCAAAACGATTTAAGTTGTTGCTAATCTGACATTTCAGAAAATGAATATGAAAGATTTGTTTAAATTTCACCTGCTCAAGGTGCCCGGTACCTGCATTAACTTTCCTGAGGACGAAAGTCCCATTGAGCTCTGGACATCCACCGCAACCCCACTGCAAGACAAATCCAGTTTGCGGCCGGACGAAACCAAGGCCATTCATCAGAGGGCCTCGCTACCTCCAGCTCTCCTCCACCTCAAGTTCCACCTCCCCAAGCAGGTGGGTGGGGGTGGCTTGAGGGGGGGTGGGGTTTGACGATCTACCGCACAACTGCTGCTCTTTCTGAGACACCGTGGTGCACCTCTGCGGGATCTGACCTATTTAACTCCCCCTGCCAACCGAAGGGGGTCATATTTCAAATTAGCTCAAGCTGCCTGAGAGGGCACTGGCGGAGTGTGGACCACAAAGAGTGTGTGGCAGGTCCTTTAGATGGCCAGACCATTGTACCTTCTCAGCTCGCCATGAACAAAACCTAGCAGGCACCACGCCTGTCCAGACCAGAGGCTTATCTTCATTGCGGCCTGCCATCTGTCCTCCTAACAGGATGACGCCTTTCAGCCGACTGCCATCCACATACCTGTATCTCCCGGGTGCCGGTAAACATTTCCTTCAAGCTGTTGAACACCTGATTCACCAGGTAGTGAGAAGCATCCCACACATACTCCTGCGTAGAGAATAAACAGAGACACAGACACGTGCTCAGAGCAGTGTCACCAAATCCTCAAATCATACAGAAAATTAAATGCTCTTCCAGACAGATTCCCAGAGTCAAGCGTCACAACAAATGTTATCATTTTAAAATGCATGAAAGTGGCTGTAAGATGGGAATGGGGGTGAAGTCATGTGACACACAAATGTATTCGCTTATTCACCGAATTATTATAGGACTGAGATCTTCCATCCGCATGTTGAGACCCAAAGCCCTGATCGCAAACTCACTGAACACCTTCCCCAGCTCTGATACCAGCATGTCCCTTGTGGGCATCCCCGTTATGCCATCTTCTGTCTCCCTCTGCCCCCGCCAAATCACAGCCCCCCCCTCCCCATGTTATGTGGGTGTGTCTCAGTCTAACAGCGACGTCGCAGAACTTAATTATTCATCCTGAATATTTCCACGAAACCAAACTTGCGAGTCACTCTTCTTTTGATCTCGTTCTTTTTTTATCCACATCAGCAGCTGTTTCTGCCTTGAATGTTGGCGACGGGACGCTGTGCTGGGACCAGCGAGTGCAGGAGGGAGCATCAGGGTTTGGAATAACAGCTTTTATCCAGAGATGGCTTTGACAGCAGACTGCTCTTTACACCGCCCTCCATCTCCCACACAGACGACGCCGGACGCATCCGTAATGCGCCCAGGAGCAACTTCAGAAAGCAGCCACTACAACATCAGTGTGGGAGCATCAAGGTGTAGAAGGGAAATAAAAATCTAAAGACTTTCGAAATACCAGAGATTTTATTGCTGAGGCAATATTACTATCATTACAGCCAAATTGTCTCAAGTAATTGCACCCCTGTAACTGAAGCGATAACAGCAGCCAGTGTCACTGGGTTTATGCCACTCGTCGGCCTACCGTTCGGGTCCCCAGTCTGCAGTACTTGTTCCTTCACCATTATTGTGCAGGGATTAGAATCTGTTACTTTGTTCAGGGCGTCCTCGTTGAGTGAATCACATGACCTAACTTCGGATGTGTCTTAGGTGGAATCAAGCGTAGCGTCTAGGGTTGCAAAATTCCCGGAATTTTCAAAGATGGAAACTTTCCATGGGAATTAACGGGAATTAATGGGAATAAATGGGAATTAACGGGAATTTATGGGAATAAACTGGGAATTTTCAAAATTGAAGGTTGGCTCTTCTTAGGGAACTTAAATATAGCTCAGCAAAGTATATTTTAGCATAATATTGACAAAAACAAACAAATGCAATTCAAATACACTTGAATATCCATGCCATTCCTTAATCACATGTACAGAGCACATGCTTGCTGCATGGCTATTGAGACCACCTACTGGCACTGTGCATGCCTCCATCACATGTACACATGGACCACACTTTTGAGCCTGAAGGACAAAGAGTATTGAAGGCACACATTTGAGCCTGTGGACTTAACAAGTGAGGTAAGTTTTGATGATATTATGGGAAAATATATTCATTAAATGTTTAAATTGTGAATATCACATAAAATGTATTAATCTGGTAGATAGCAATCTGATAAGATGCTAAATAAAATGCTAGCATCTGTTAGATGCTAAATAAGCCATAGCTAGTATAACATAAAGAAGATGCTAGCTTCCTCATTTGGCTGTTTTGTTTTGAAGATCATTCCAGGGGCTCGTTCTTCGTACGTCGCTAACTCAGTTAGCTGGATTTGATTGTTGACGATTTGGCATGATCTTGGATTGTTTGGTTCTTCGAAGCTCATCCTGGACTTGCTGTCATAGCAAAAGGTGCGCAAGCTTAAACCTGCTCGGGAGCAGGCTTATTTCATGTAAACAGGGTTTAGGCTGCGCTCCTGGCGGGTTATGATTGGTTGAAATGGCGAGGTCACATCTGATTGGTTAAAGAGCACGACATGTTGTTGGATGATGATGAGGTCCAGGAAGAGTTTATTGACTGAGCAAAAATGAGAAAAGAGGATTGCTTGAAGGAATATTTGCATGTTTAATGGGACGTTTTGGAGGATAAGTGGCATTTTTCATTTAACCTTTTGAATGGGACTTTGTGGAGATTTTTGGACAGGGGGCATTTTTGAATGAGCGGGGTTAGGGGATGGTAATATTGAACTCAACATTTCTGTTTTTATTCATCCATGAAACAAGTTATTGAAACGTGTTCTATTCTACTGTACTTACAAATAAATCTGTTGAAATATCTGTTGAAAACATTTTGCATGGAGGTTCTCTTATGATTTCTGTTTATATTTATGCTTGGAAATAATATATTCCCAGTTAGTTCTCCTAAATTCCCATTAATTTCCATAATTCCCATTATTTCCATGGAAATTTTCCAATATGGAATATTTCCAAAATTCCCAAGCTTAACTTACCATGGAAATTTACCAGAAACTTTCCGGAAATTTACCGGAAATTTTCCGCCCCTTTGCAACCCTAGTAGCGTCACGTCAGCCTAAACACCAGCGTGACAGCAGATGGAAAGCCGCAAACACACGGTTACCGGGGAAGAGGCACAACTGAGGTGGCTGCTGGCTGGTGGTAGCTGGCAGCATTCTGGAAGTACAAGTCTTACAAAGGCTGCCTAACCCAGGGATTCTCAACCAAAAGGTTCAGCTGTTGACCATTAGAAATTTTTGGAGGCCCACTGTGTTGGGTCACCATCAGGTATTGTCTCCCTTGGCAAATTTTGCCGATTTCGGGGCGGGTGGGGGGCACTCCCATGGTAAATTCTGCTTAATGGTTGGGTCTCTGCAGTGACCCATTAAACAAATTCGCAGCCGACTACAGAAATCGTGCACTACGGTTTAGTGCCACACCCAAAGATTTATACACTGATATCTCAGACCACTGCAGAAGTCAGCAGGACTCTTTAGCTACAAATGTATGTCAACGAGCATTTGTGGTGCAATAAACCTCGCAGCAATCATCTTGAGTTACAGGTCAGGACACATGGCAGTGATGGGGGATGGGGGGGGTGCTGTACCATGGGGAAGCCGTCGGTCTCCCTGAGCCGCTTCTCGATCTGCAGACGGCCCCCGTACCGTGTCACGCCGTACACGACGGTCATCACCGTCTGCTTCACCACCTTGCGGTTGATGAAGCCCTGCAGGACCAGAGCGATCTTCTCACCCTTCTCCGCATCGCGGGCACGGAACTCCTCTACCTATTCGGGGAAAGAGGACACATGGAGCATGGCTGATGTGTAGGGGATGCCCTCTACCGCCCCCGTGTGGCTGGCTGTCCCGGAGAACATCAGATCAGGACTTATGATTGAGAAAGCAGGTCCTAATCTGAGTTTATAGATCCTGGTGAAGGAAAGAGGACCTAGCAGGGAAAATCCAGAGAGCTCTGCAAAGTTAGGCTCATTTGTTTAATTTCCAAAAGATCAAACCCAATGTCGGATCAGAGAAATCCCGGGTGGAGAGACCGTTTACCAGAAATGTCTTATCAGTCCGGCTGCACACTTCAGTAAGATATGTTACCTACTGTCATTTTTTATGACACTCTGACAACTGAAATCACCAGCTCGATAAGCTCTGTTAGCACATTAAAATGCATCTTGGGCAACTGGACAGCAATAAATACAAGTGTAAATGACCACCAAGACGCATTGTGGTCTGATCTACTCAAGCCACTTGCCGAGGTGGTCTGGGATGCTTTTGAGCACATATCTTTTGTAGTGTAAATGCTAAGGACGTCAATAACTGTGAGCGGGGCCATTTGACCTTCTAGCAGAAGTGACGTCGGCCATAACGAAATGTGAACACAAGTGGTCAGCCAGACACCTTGGAGATGCGTGACAGACACAGACATGAACGTTGATGAGTCTCGTTCTCATAGTTTATCCTTCCAGTCCACTTTTAGATTTTGTTAAATGAAGAGAAGCCAATTAAGTTCAATGGACAAGCAGATTATCATATCGAGGTCCTAGGAGCTTGAAGCCAAGGAGAGGGGAGTCGTGGGTGGAGACCGGAGCGGACGGGGATCGGCGGGGGGCTGACCTGCTGTGCCACCACGCTGTAGACGTCCTGGGGCTCCTCGCAGGGTACCAGGTTGACGGAGGTGGCGCCGATCACGTCGCGGCCCAGGGCCGCGTAATGCTGCAGGCCATTACACGAGCCGTCCTGGTTTGTCGGAGGGGGTGGGGTGAGACCAAAAGAAGCAGAAGGGAGGGCGCAGACTTTGCTTTAAGTTTTTTGTTACTGGTTCACTGATGTCCCTATTTGAATCATGAGGAGGGTCTACAGGACTGCAGCCCAGTAATATAGATAAATGGCACAGAAACTCGTATGTCAGAGGCAGCTGCAGACGGACCTTTGTAGTGAAGGCCTTATTTTAAGCGAGACACGGATTCTGCTTACACCTGCAAGGCGTCCGCTCCGCGTGTTCAGGGTAATATATACCATTAAGAGGTGTTTAGTAGGCCAGCCGGCTGAACTCCGAGCCGCGCTTAATATCGATCACAGACCTCGTGTGGTGGATTAACCAACAAGTGGAGCACGGCAACAGGCTCCGGAGGATGGGGCGCACCTGGTGCACGGGGAAGTGCGAGACGAAGCGCGTGTGGTCAGGTGACCGCGCGGCGTTGGTGATCTCCATGCAGCAGGCCAGGGCTTGCCAAGGCTCGTCAACGTTCATCCACCATTTTCGGCCCTGCGTTGGAGACACGGGAAGCTTTCATTTGCTTACCGGAAGCTTCCAATCGTACTTTGCACTGATAAAATTTAATAGTGACAAGTCTGCCCAGGCAGAGGTAGCTCTACCTTTCAAGAGGCCCTAGGCAAACCTTTTCATGGGAGGCTCCTCGACCAAGAAGACTGATGATCATTTCACTTCCTCCGCAATGCAGGTAATTCGACAGCCCTGGGCAACGGACTATTCTGCCTATAGCTAAAGCCAGCCGTAGGCTAATTTTGCTTCTGGGGCTTATTTAACCAGCACAAAACATCCAGAACTTTATCAGCTGGCATTCTACATTTTTACACAATACCAAATGTTTGGCAAGTTATTAAGGATACCATTTTCTGACTGCAATAATTTCATTTGGCTAAAGCAGTATTTTCAAACCCAGTCCTTGGAGACCTACAGCCGTCCAAGCTTTTCCTCCCTACCAGGAGCAAAAATGTGGACTGTCTGTGGGTCCCCGAGGAGCAGATTAGGAAACACTGTACTAAAGTATTAATTTTTGCCATTTAATGCAGCAAGACAGGAAGACTAATGGGAGGATAAGGATTTAGGCAGATGGAGGAAGATGCTCACAGTCAGGGGCCGGTCTGCTGAGTCCAGGATGTCGTCCATGATGCTATTGGCATACTCCAGTCTGACTGCCAAAGAACCGCGCTTCTTCAGGCCGGTGAGGTTGACCAGGTGGATCTTCAGCCAGTCAAGTCCGTGGCCACCTAGCGGCCTGCCCTCCGCAAACACCAGAATGGCTCGAGTCACATCACTCCCAAGGTGGTTGAAGTAGGGCGGGCAGGGGTAAGTGCGTCCACGGAAATCCATGTTGTGGGGGAACCAGAAGATCTCATCTCGCACGTGGTTGGCGATGGACAGCGTGTAAAGGGCCGACATCCGGAGGCTGTGCATTTCGGCCACCTTCTTCTTGGATTTGATCATCTCACGCTTCAGGTGGGCCTGCTCCGCCGAGGAGTAAGACGGGTCCTGGGAGTTGAACCGGGGGACCTCCGGGGCCTCGGACATGGGCGGCGGGATCTTCATCTTCTCGTTGCCTTTGTCGTTGAAGATGCCGACGATGACGTCAAGCAGGGGCTTGTTGATCTTCCAGGCGCAGTTGCCCAGCTGGTTGAGGGAGTCGAGGACGGCGTGGAGGTCGGGGTTGCGGCACTTCTCCAGGAGCAGCTGGTGCTGGATGGCGCCGTCATCAGCACGCATCAGCTTGGTGGGCGAAAGAAGGTAGGTCCCGAATTTTGGAGACGTCCAGGGCAAAGGGGGGCACAGCATGGGCATCACGTAAGACTCAAAGTTCAACTTGGTCTCCATGGACTCTGACAGGATCTGTATCAGAACCGGATGCGGTTTGATGAATCCAACCTAGAACAATAAAAAAACACATTTAATATCCATTGATTTCCTAGAACAACTTATCCAACGTACAGGCACAAATGGCAGCTGGTCACAGGGCCTGTGCAGAGTATCTTCAGAGAGCCATTCTACAGAAATAGATCGACCTAAATCACGCATCTTTGGATGGTGGAAGCAAACCAGAGAACTAGGAGCAAATCCAAAGAGACGCAAAGTGAACTCCAGAGAGACAGAGAAGGTGGTGATGAACACCTGAAGCCAGGAGAGAAGTGGCGAAAAATGCTACAAAGCGTGCGGCCATGTTGTCCGTATTGCAAATAAATATACAACAGCGGTACAATGGGAAAATACGCAAAACCTCCAGTTCAGAAGGGAGGACCGGAAGGTTGCTGGTTCAAATCCTAGGGCTGGCAGAATGATATCACCATCAGGCCCTAAGGTTAGGGCCTCAACCCCAATTGCTCCAGGGACTGTACATTGCTTTGAATAAAAGTGTCCAATATAGAAATGTAATATAATGTAAAAGCTTTCATTTTACTCTTTCATTTCAAATAATTTCATTGTACCATTACAGTAAACAGGCCACATGGTTTATCTAATACGAAACTTTGCCTAGTGCCAGGCAGCAGTGACCAGGGTTATCAGCCAATCAGATCGAGCGCAGACACGGTGAGGGGGTGGGGGCATATGTGGGATGCAGCCATTCAGCACAAGCCGCTGAGTGATGGCGGCACAGGCTTCAGTACGATCACAGCGCCTCCCCCGCCAGCCCCACCCTCTGCGGCCGTGAGCGATGAGCTCCAAGCGCTGACCCCGGTCCTCCTCCGTCAGAGCGCATCAGAGCCACGCTGCGAGGACGTGGCTCCAAGGACACTCTCTCCGCTCCACGTGTGACTCGCGGGGTAATGAACGAGCCCACCGATCGCGCACACGGCAGAGTCAGGCCTGTTTGTGAGGCACTCGCCTCAGCTCCTCCAGAACACGCTCTTCACAGTGGGATCACCGAGTGGGATGTGTACGCGAATAAATGGGAATCTGCTTTGCTTCTGGCCTGCAGATGGGGAATCGGCTCGTCTACATCGCCCACCGCCTGTGTCTGAACGCGCCCGAGACTCATCTGTTCCAGGAAGTCCTGTACTTGCCTGACGTTTTTATAATAATAGTAATAGACACTTTATTGATCCCTGTGGGGAAATTCTCTTTTCGCCTCCCCCATCTTGCTCTCCATAACACAGACACATATGTAGGGGGGGGGGGGGGGGGGGGGGGGGGTTAAGGGCCTCGCTGAAGGGCCCACGGACACGAAGCCGGACTTGAACCGGTGACCCAAATGTCCCAAGAGGTGGAAGGTAAGGGCATACCTTTGAGGTTGAGCATGAGGGGGGGGGATTAGGTGTCCACCCATTTAAGGGGTCCAGGGGGTTGTATTGGCTGGTTTTGATTTACCTCCCCCCCGACATAATTTACACCCATGTTGGAAGCTGTGGATGTTGTGTAGCTCCAACCCTGCTTACACTTCCACTGGGCCATTATAATAATGGTATTTTACTAATCCCCAAAGGGGGAGGGGAGTCTCCTTTGGCCTGCATCACACAGACACACACGGAGGTGAGAGCGAACTCGAGGGTGACAGCGAAGGGCCCGATTCTGCTGAGGCCAGGCTCAAACCAGCAACCTTCTGATCACAGACACACGGAGGTGAGAGCGAACTCAGGGGTGACAGCGAAGGGCCTGACTCTACTGAGGCCAGGCTCAAACCAGCAACCTTCCGATCACAGACACACGGAGGTGAGAGCGAACTCAGGGGTGACAGCGAAGGGCCCGATTCTGCTGAGGCCAGGCTCAAACCAGCAACCTTCCGATCACAGACACACGGAGGTGAGAGCGAACTCGGGGGTGACAGCGAAGGGCCCGATTCTGCTGAGGCCAGGCTCAAACCAGCAACCTTCCGATCACAGACACAGAGGTGCAGCCTGCCGCCCATCAGCCTCCATCTCCGAAAGCTCAGCTCCCTGTGTCTAGGTGACCCCTCGACAGCCGCATGTATGTGACAAGTGTAAATGTATTAAATATCCCGTAATGTACTGGCATCCCATCCAGGGTGTCCCCTGCTGTCAGTCGGTACTAACCCAGGTCTGTAATTCTAATACACCACCAGCTCCTAAAACAGTCCCATTGCCGCAGAGAACCTTCTTTCTCTTAAGAAACGTGACGCTGCATTACGGGAATCGATAACAATCCATACTGATTCTATCGGACACCGGATCCAGGTAACTACCAGATTAGAGCCTCTTAAGGTCCTCTTGCCATTTGAACAGCCTTTGTGGAAGCTGCTCCCGGTTTGGATCCAGTTCACAGCAGACATCAGCATTAAGCTTATTAGGATAAAATGCCTGCAGAACCGATGGCGTCGGCGGTTTCTTCATCCAGGTACATGCAAGGGCAGATGGACTTTATTTGCCTGCTGGCGGCTGGGCAGAGCGGTGGCTCTGAGGCTAGGGATCTGTGCCAGCATTCGGAAGGTTGCTGGTTTGAATCCCATGAAAATATATAAAACTTGCACCAGTCCATCTGGATTAGTATGGTGCTGAGGTACCACATGCCACTCAGATTCTCATCAGGTGGTTTGCTGGGTGCAGCAATGTGCTGTCAAGCACATGCACCTTACCTCCCTCTCTCTCGGGGCTTCACTACCATGCTGATAACAATGGATCTTCAAGCATCGAACATAACCCCATGAAGAATCTTTGATTTCCAGATCAGAATGTCTTATTCATATTAGAACATTTCTACTCATCTCAACCAAACAGATTTTGATCATGTTCCTTAAAATCTACTGAAAGTGATTACCAGGTACATTTTCATGCACAAACTGGTACATAGAAATTCCATTAACAACAAGAAGCCACAGATATACCCACTATATGCACTATAAACAGAGCTTTTGTTCTGGTGATGAACGTTACTATTTTTTCGTGTTCTAGACATATTCACTACCTGTAAATCATCGAATGGGCGTTTCACAGTGTCCTTATCATGCCAATATTACGGAAAAGGTAGTTAAAGTCGTACAGAGACACTTAAGATAAACGCACCCAATTTTGTCAAATCTCGCTGTTAAAGTCGACTTTTTGACTTTCACCAGCAGAAATAGCCTTTGGCCAAATCCGTGTTACCCTATTCCCTTGCTGACATAATTTCTCTATTCTTAGGGTAAAATCACTTTGTTTTGTTTTGTTACTTTTCATCACTTTCAGAAGACAAATGGTGGCAATCAATGCTGTTTTCTTACATTAAACGAACTTATAAGACCTTTCAGTTTACTAAGCAATAACAATACTCATTGAGCATCAAGCAATAACAATACTCATTGAGCATCAAGCAATAACAATACTCATTGAGCATCAAGCAATAACAATATTCGTCTGAGCATCAGAATCTGCCCACAAGCAGGGGGCGCTGTAGCAGTTACCTGCCTATTGCTGCGGAAGGTGTACATGTGGTAGAGCACAGGGATCAGCTTCTGCGTCTGCCCCGAGTTCAGAACATCACTGTGCACCTTGAGCTCCTGCACCATGAGGTCCACCAGGTGAGTCCCCAGATGCACCATCAGGCTCTGGGGCCACTGGGTGTCGTCACTTGCCAGCGTCGAACCCGTGTTTGCCAGCTCCGCCGCCAGCTCCGCCCAGCGTTCCCGTGGCAACACATCACATGTCTAAACAAATGAAAGAGTAGAATTAAGCCAAATGACGTCCACACGTCCTTTCAGAGCTTAAAAGACCTTTTCTGTAAATTAGGCACTTATCTGACCCTGATGAAAATATCAAGAAAAAAGAAAAGAAAAAAAGTGCTCAATTAGCTAATAAACAGAATGAGAACAAAAATAAGTCTTTGGAAAAAAGTGTCCCTTACAGAGAAAGACAAAGTAAAGCCAGTGGTACTGTCAGTTGCAAAAATCACAGAAATCAAATAAAACACAAAATATTCCTATTCATGCCCAGATCTCAAAGACATTAAATAACTGGTCTGGGAGGAGATCCAACTGTAAGATAAACAGCAGAGCTGGTCACAGAGAGCCACACCTCAGTGTCCTTGGACAGCAGCTCAGCATAGTCATTATAGATGTTTCTCAGCTTGTCCACCATCTGGCTGTTGTTCTTCTGCTGGATGATGTACTTGTTGTACACCTTGTGGCCCAAGGAGCTGGCGAACATCACCAGGGTTTCTCCGTTGGGTGCCAATTCGCATAGACCCTTTGGAAGGAGAGGTTTGGGAAATGTTAATGTAGATGGCGCGATGGTTCAAGCGTGTGGAGAGGCCTCCCTGTCGGACAACGGCAGGCGTTAACTCAGTCCGTACCTGCAACATGATGTCCACGTACTCGTCGTTGTCCAGCAGACATAAGTACGGGTAGAGGTTCATCTTCCCACTCTTCTGGCTGCTGTGGCCCAGGATCACTTTGGCTTCTTTGAGAGCCTGGAGGAGGGCTTTGCACCAATGGGAACGCAGCACTTCCAGTAACTCCCGCTGAAACAGCGCGTTAGTCGATTAACTAATTAGCTACCTAGAGACTGGAATATTGAACTGGAACAAAACGTGGGAGGGCAATTATAACATCAGGCCCAGCAGTATCAGGTGTTTTGAGTATAGCTGTACTGCCCCGTAGGAACGGTGTGAATTAACACACTGTGTTGGAGAAATTATAAAACTGAAAAAAGACCATAATAAGTTTCACTCATTCCACTAGCAAATAAACCATCTCTTTACAATGCTAAAGACCAGGCATGAACCAACACTAATTCACATATCTCAAAAGTACTACAGCCTTGAATGGATAACAAGTCTACAAAAAGTGGATGGATAGACAAGTGTTTGTGCAAATAAGATCAGAGGAGGATGGCAAACGAAAGCCCCAAATCTGAAAGTAGGTCAGTCTTGAATCATTTAGCTTGGAGGACAAAACAGCCCCTATTGCTGAAGGTGATTCACAGCCTGCTCTGGGAGGCTGCATTATAATAGATCAGTGTTACGCACCCCAGTCTTTGGGGACGCTCCCTCCCAGCTCCCAGTCAAGCAGGAACACCAAATACCTGCTACAGGTGGTTGGAAAATGCGGACTGTCTCGGGGTACCCCCCAAACTGGGTTGGGAAACACTGTAATAGATGATTACACCCGATATCCACTTGGAAATGCAGCACTATCACCTCGGATCACTCACTGGCACAAAACTTTGAAATTAAACTAATAACAAGTAGCACCCACCATCCTGGCCTGGCTCTCCGTAATGGGTTTGGCAGCCTCCACAGAGTCAATGGTGACCGAGGCAGCCTGCTCCATTCTCAGCTGCCGCTCGAATCTCTCCTGCAGTTCAGATAGGCTGAAGCTGAGCTTCGGAAATCTGGCCTCTTCCCTCTGCAACAAAGAACACAAACGCTGAGCTAAAGACCCGTATATAATGTATATGCACGCACACACACACACACACACACACGCAGACAGACACACACACACACACACACAGTGCTGTGCAAAAGTTTTAGGCAGCCAAAATAAATGTTTAAAGCTATTTATTTGGGTAGTAAGTGCACTTTTGCTCAGAACAAAAACACAATTTAGCATTAGAACATATGCAAATTAAGAGTAACAATAAAAACTAGCAAGGATTTCCTCTGTTCTCCACCAGCTCAATTAATTAACTTAATTACTTAAAAAAGTCAGGTGTGCCAGTGGTAGTGTCAAAAAACTCATGGGTGTATTAGATGTTTGCTGGGAATACTGGGGTGATTTTAGCAGAGAGTTTGAAATGGCTAAGTTGACACACTTTGACAGGCGTAATATTACAGTTTTACACGAAGATCATTTAAGCATCATTTCATTTCCTTTCTCCTCCTAAGACTTTTGCACAGTACCATGTACGTGTATGTGTGTGTAATTTCAAATCAGACTATTCAGACATGATTAAAGTGCACATTCCAGACTTTAATATAATTAATATAATTATACATAGTCCCTCTATTTCAGGGTAGTGTGGTGGCTCTGAGGCTGGGGATCTGTGCCACCAATCGGAAGGTTGCTGGTTCAAATCCCGTGAATGTCCAGAGTGATTCTACTCTGTTGGGCCCTTAACCTGCAATTGCTTAGTCCTGGGTATGATGTTAATCTACATCCAGCCCTATAAGTAGGTCCTCAGACTAACAGGGGAAAAACTTGGGGTTGGTGGCAGGACTGGCATTCCGGCCACTGGAAAAAAAAACTCACACTGGCCCATTTGAACTGGTGTGGTTCTGAGGTATCGCCTGCCGCATGGCTGCACTCAGGATCTCATCCCTGAGGTGGTGGGTGTGGCAACACACTATAATCAGTGCATGCTCTTTACCGCTCCTCTATTTCAGGGCACCATAATGGTGTGTCTGGACACAGCAGTGGTGTGTATATTAAAGCAGTCATGCTCAGCACTTTGTTCCATATTCCTAGCATGCAGCTACTTCAAGCAGTCTGTGATTCATGGACATCACCAGGTGCTGAGTATCTTCTCTGGTGATGCTCTGCCAGTCCTCTAATGCAGCCGCCTTCAGCTCCTGCTTGTTTTGGGCCTTGTCCCTTCCTCTTCGGCATATGGAAGGCATGCTCAGTTGGATTTAAAATCAGGTGACTGATTTGGCCATTCAAGAATTGTCCATTTTTTAGCTTTTGAGAACTCCCATGTTGCCTTAGCAGTATGTCTGGGGATCATTATCTTCTTGCAGGACGAAGCGCCATCCAATGAGTTTGGAGGCATTGACTGGAACTAGACCAGATAAGATGTTTCCACACAGCTCAGAATTCACCGTGTGACTGCCGTCTGCAGTTACATCATCAGTGAAGGTAACTGTGGCAGTACCTGAGGAAGCCATTCACGCCCAAACCATAACACCCCCATCACCGTGTTTAACAGATGAGCCAATATGCTTTGAATCTTGGGCAGTTTCTTTCCATCTCCACACTTTCCTCCAGCCATCACTCTCGTACGGGTTACTCTCATACAGGTTAATCTTGGGCTCGTCTCTCCATAAGACCTTTCTGCAGAAGGGAGGACCGCAAGGTCTGCATGTTCTGCAGACTCTTTTAAATACTTTTTGTCCAAACTATAATCTGCCCATCCTGTTTCTGTGGTTAACGAGTGGTTTGCATCTCACAGTGTAGCCTCTGTGTTTCTGTTCATGAAGTTTCCGCAACTAAAGACTCCAAATGGTAGAAGCCAGCCTAGGTATCTCATCCCTGCACTAATGAAGCAATGAAACACACCAGAGTATCACAAATAGTTGTGAAGCCAAATGTTCCAAACATTATGGTTCGCTGTAATGATGGGAACGATGTATAAAATGTGTTGTCATTTCTACATGGTGAAGCCGAAATGTATGCAAATAACTGGAATGTGCACTTTAATCATGTCTGAATTGGATGATTTGAAATTTTAAACTGTGGAGCAGAGAGGTAAATCAAGGAAAAAATGTGTCTTTGTTCCAAACATTATAGAGCACACTGCATATAGGTCATAATATACATTCTTTTAAAATAGGCATCTATGGATCACTTCTCCTTAGTTTCTGCCTGCTCATTGGCTGGGGACGGCCTATCACTTCTCCTTAGTTTCTGCCTGCTCATTGGCTGGGGATGGCCTATCACTTCTCCTTAGCTTCTGCCTGCTCATTGGTTGGGGACGGCCTATCATTTCTCCTTAGCTTCTGCCTGCTCATTGGCTGGTGACGGCCTATTACTCATCCTTAGCTTCCAGAAACATGCTGAAATAAGCATTCCTCTTCTCCATATTGAGGTTGGTAAGTGACTGATTTGGAGACCCGACACCATCTCAGGCAGGTTGTGACATTTCTTAACAAATCCAGACGAGTGGCTGTCAGCTATATACTTTTACCAGCTTCCTCCAGCACATACCACCAAGAACGGTCTTGAATCAGAGGTCACTTTCATGAATAACTAAAGAAGCCATTCATAAATATAATTGCTAATTATACAAAAAAAGATGGAAAAATCCAAAGGGCGTAAAAGATACTGCAATTCCTATTATCCAAAGGACATAAAAGGTACTGTAATTCCTATTATTTTTGTTTAATTTCCATTTATCTGACTGAATTAGACCCACTGCCAACAGCCGTCCAATAAACATCTTATACATTTGATACTGTGAGGTCTCTAAGCATCAGTGTTCTTAGTTGCTCTATTATTTGAGCTTTAATAATCCATATGCAAAGAAGTTCAAAAGGTCAGGCATGCTAATATGCTAATATGCTATAAGACCTCTGCATTCTCTGTTAAGTTTTTAGTCACCAAAAGGCACAGAATGCTACCAAATCACAGGGGGAGATCCCGTGTTGGTCACGTGATGCATCCTTGTGCTGGTGGGCAGTGTTGGGCATTTCAGGTCCAGAAACTGCAAATCCAGGCCAAGATTCTGTTACTACCAACCAGTTAAGCATAGACAGTCACTGTCACAGAATACTCAACTGGTTGGTAGAAACAAAATCTTGGTCTGGATTTGTAGTTTCTGGATCTGAAATTGCTGACACTGCTGGTGTGACTCAGCCATACGCTCCGAGTGTGTATACTAGTATTTTGTAAAGCGTCAAAGTACAGCTGATGTTGTACTGTAGGGTCCTTATTAATCAAGGAGACAGAAAAGCACAATTTGTCCTCCAGGAAGCATGAAGAGAATCAGGCATAATAAACAGAAACATTAGGCTGGAAACTAGTTCACTATCCCGTATCATGGCTGGACTGGAGCGTCACTGAAACCCACAAGGAAATGGGCACCAGAAAGCTTGATAAATGTATCTGTGCCTGCCTCCAGCCACCACCGATTTAGGGAAGAAAATAATGAGTTTGTTCATTAATGCGAATTTTCACAAAACAGAATAATGCATTCGTATATATATATTTTATTTTAGATTTCAACAAGACGGATTGGGTGCCTTAACCTGCCGGTGTTGAGGGTGGTGCTTTGGGATGCGGCGGAACGTGTGTGAGTGTGTGTCACGCCTCGTGGTGGGGGCGACCCGCAGCCGCGATGCTGGGGAAGCAGATGGGGGCCACCGTCGTTCCCGATTCCCGCAAAACAACTTTGAGGGGGGGGCCGGAGCACCTGAGGCGTAACCCCGGCACCTCAAAAGGCATCCTCACCTACTGCCGATCACGGGCAAAAATCGGCATTATACATTTGTACAGGTATGGAAAATGATGGATGAACAAGTGTTCGTTTTCCAGGACTATGATGATAAAAAGAAACGTAAATTTCAACTTGAGAATTATTTTATCCATCCATTTTCTGTAACCGCTTGCCCAATTCAGGGTCGCAGGGGGTCTGGAGGCTATTAGAGCAAGGCAGGGAACAACCCAGGATGGGGCGCCAACCAATCACAGAGCACACTCACACACCATTCACTCACACAAGCACTCATATGAGCAATCTGGTAACACCAATCAACCTCAGCATGTCTTTGGACTGTAGGGGGGAAACCAGAGCACCCGGAGGAGACCCCACGACGACACGGGCAGAACATGCAAACTCCACACACATGGAGTCCTGGCGGAGACTCAAACCCTGGTCCCAGAGGTGTGTGGCGACAGTGCTGACCACCACACCATTGTGGAACTCCAAATTATTTTATACAAGGAATTATTTTATGCGTCTCTTCCTGTTCGTTCAGGGACTGAAATATTATGCTTTAGGAGCAACGCAGCTATAACGGCCCAAGGCCTGTAAATTTCAATTACTCTGTATAACCTTGTGTATCACAGCCTTTCTGTATAACCCTGTATAACATCAGGAAAGTCAGACCTTCTCCGTCTCGGTATGCAGCTCCGCTTCTAGGTCCAGCGCCTGTTACCTCATAACTAGACTACTGCTACCAGCTTGTGCTCTCAGACCACTGCAGATGATTCCAAACACAGCAGCACGTCTGATATTCATTCACCCTAAACCTTCTCATGTCACACCCCTCCTTGTCAGTTCAAGTTCTTGGTGCTGACTTACAGGTCCATCAATGAATAGGCACCCATCTCCATCAGGAGGCTCCCTGGGACCTACACCCCACCCAGCCCACTACCATCAGCAAGCCAACGTCGCTTGGAGCTCCTCCGCCACGTGAGGAGCGTCACTACAGAAGTTCTCCTGTGTGGTTCCTCGGTGGTAGAATGAGCTGCTGAACCACATCCGGTCATCAGACTCCCTCAAGATCCAATTGTTCCATGAATTCCTCTACAAACCTGATGATCTTTACATTCCCTGATTGTAACTTAGTGGCCCTTGAATAGTCTTATTAGCTTCTTAATTTGTTAATGGTTATTGAGTAATTGTTGTGTATCTCCTGCTCTGATACTGCTTACACTCATACCTGGGTGTTCATTGCAACCTCAGTCTAGCCGCACTTATGCCTAGTTGACTGCTAAACAGCATGAATGTTTGCAATGTGCCATTTTCCTCACTTGTACATGGCTTTAGACAAAAGCATCTGCTAAATATGTTAATGGAAAATGTAAATTATGTCCTAATTAAACATGGCATTTATTTGATATCTATCCAAGAAGCTAAACTATAAATAGCAAACTTCTGATAGAAACTGTGCAAACAGAAAGGCAGCTTTTTTCTTGCATTTTTCTCAAAGGACAGAGAGAAAGACAGACAAGCGCCGATTTTCTCATGTCGATAAAGGAGCTTTGATGCAGGCATGGGAATGCAGTGATGGCTGTTTTCAGAAGCTGGACTTTGATGCATCTGTCACCGATTAACTCCACGACAAGTGACTTCCGACAGCACGGAAATCCCATTCCGCACAAACAGCTACGGCTTCCCTTTCGCCGCCCGCGCCGTCTCAAGGCGCCCTCGTGTTTACACACTCGAAACGAGGCCCCTACCCCCCCATTACCATGCCACATTCACCATCCACCAATCAAAGACTCACAGAAGTGCTGAGCACCTAGATAAAAATACTCGCTCTTGAGGCTCGTTAGCCAATCGTGCGAACCGGGTGAGCGGCGCCCCCTGATAATACCGCCGTGCTAAAAATAGCCTGGGAACACGCTGTGAGAGGCCTGACAATCAGCCGCTCGCTGGCACGGCCCAGCGCACCAGGCTCTCTCTCTGGAAGCACTCGGGCTCACCTTGCCGCCGATAACGTCTCCGTGGTGTTCCGGGATCTTCCACAGAGCTATCGGGCCCCGGGGGGCTCCCTGTCGGTGGTGCTTACACCCTTTCTTTGATCCCCACTCAACAATCTGCTCGAACTACATCAAGGAGCGAAACTGATCTGTCAGTAGCCTTGACATTTCCCATCAGCCCCCGAAACTTTAAATCTCTGGATAACAATAAATATCTGGGGTTAAGGGGCATATAAACACATAATCTTGAACACAGTTGGTACTTCCAGTGTATAGCATAAAATCTATGACCGTATTCCTCTACACAGGATTTAATGTAGTATTGGAGGTGCAAAGACTCCCGGAATCAAGGGGCGTACGTACAATTTTCCATATTCAAAGGCCCCTGTCAAGTGGTGGGTATCCCTGCCTCCCGACGCCCCTGCCCAGAACCCTAAAGCAGGCATTTATACGTCTTATAAATGGAAAAGCCGTTTCATTCATGCTGCTACTCCTCAGTGCTGAGTCACAGTAAACATCACCAAGGTCTGTGATTCCATTATCATCGTCTGCAACAAACAGCAATGGCTTCAGCGAATTCTGACGCCGTGTTACGGGATTAAATTAGGAGAGCTTAAGCGGCTTATGTGGAATCTTCCCAGGGAGAAATCAGCGATACCACGGGTGTGTGGAGGAGCAGTACCTTGCTGTAAAAGTCCTGGACCAGAGGTGACGAACACATGTGCTGGGTGGTGTCTGTACTGGGCCGGAAATCCGGTTCGACCACCTGGACCGCCTTCAGCACCATCTCCCTCTCATCCTGCCGGAAGGCACACTGCCGGAACAGGTCGTCCAAGGAGAGGCCATCCTGCTTCAGCTGCTGCAGACATCTGTATGGGAAGAATGAGGATGCTCTAGATAGAGTGACATCAGCTCACCTATGAAACCTTAACCAGTATAGAAGGTTCATATATCTGGAAACCTGGTTCCTTTAGAAATACAAGTGTTCACTTTCTTTATCTCTGGGCCAAGTTCAGCCCAAGAGACACTATGAGAATACTCATAGCCTAGCGGTGGCTAAATGAAACTTCATGAACCACTTGCTATATTTTCTGACCCCACTAGATGGTGCTGTCTGTTTAAAAAAAAAAAAATGGCTCGAAGCAAGTGAAAAGTACCATCTACTGGGGTGAAAAATTACAGGCTTCATTTAGTCATCACTACTTATAGTGAAATGATGGACAAAATCTGAAGGAAAAAAAAAATATAATATAGGTACCAGCAGGTAAGAAATGAAAAATGGTTACCTTTAATTAGACAGAAAATTTTTATTTTGATACCAAATGAATACAAAAAAATCAACTCGTTATCTTGAGCAGTTTTTGAGATATTGCAATCAGAATAAGCCCTGACCTGATGAGTGTGGATCTCACATTCATACAAAATATCACCAGAAAACTTTGCATTTCAAGCATTATTTTGGTACCAGTTTAGTGGGTTTATTTGTAAGCTGAGAAAATTGAGGGTGAAATTTAAATATTTGGTCGAACCACTGAAAAATCCTTGCATTTCAATAGATAATTTCAGTGCGGTTTTAAAAAGAATAAAAGCACAGCATAGGTTGGTCCCTGGAGAGGGGCTGGACTGTATTCCACTCTGGTGTTACTCTTAATGAGAAGCACCGGGCAGCCCCCGGGATTGGTGCCAGTATGCTGCAGTTCAGCCTGGTAAACAAAAGGGTCACCTCCCTTCGACTTCGAGGTGGGGGACGGGCTCTGACAGTTGTTTGTGCTTATGCACCGAACACCAGCTCAGTGTTTCCGGCCTTTTTGGAGGTCTTGGAGGGAGTGCTGGAAGGACTCCATCATTCTTCTAGCAGACTTTAATGCTCCCATGAGAAGAGTGTGATTGGGAGGAATGGCCTGACTGATGTGAACCTGAGTAGTGTTCTGTTACTGAATTTATGTACTAACCACAATTTGTATAATAATGAAAACTATATTTGAACATAAGTGTGTGTTGCTCAGTACATCTGCCACCAGAGGACCCTAGACCGCAGCTCGATGATCAGTTTTGCAATTGCATTATCGGATCTGCGACAACGTTTTGGACACTTGGGTGAAGTCGGAAGCCAAGCTGTCAACTGCTCATCACCTGGTGGCGAGTTGGATCCAGTGGCGGGGAAGATGCCGGATAGTCCTGGCACCTCCAGCGGAACTTCTCTTGCATCCCAAGGGAGGCTGGAGACATTAGGCCTGGACGAGCGGTGATCCGCCCAATGGTCAAGCCACGGATCCAGGAGAAACAATGCGGATTCCGTCCTGGTCACGGATCACTGGACCAGCTCTACACCCTCACATGGATACTGGAGGGTTCATGGGAGTTTGCACAATCAGTCTACATGTGTTTTGTAGACTTGGAAAAGGCACACGGCCATGCCCCTTGGGGGGGTCCTGGGGAGGGGGGATGCTTTGGGAGTATGTTGTGCAGGGTCAGTTATTACGGGCCATTAGATCCCTGTTTGACCAGAGCGAGAGCTTGGTTTGCGTTGCGGGCAGTAAGTCAGGCTCATTCCCTATGGATGGTGGACTCAGCCAGGGCTGCCCTTAGTCCCTGATTCTGCTCATAACCTTTATGGACTCAATTTCTTGCTGTACCCAACTGGCAGAGGGGGTCCAGTTCGCAACCTCAGGATCACGTCTTTGCTTTTTGAAGATGATGTGGTCCTGTTGGCGTCATCGGGCTGTGACCTGTGACATGCACTGGAACGGTTTGCAGCCGAGTGTGAGGTGGCTGGGATGAGGAGCAGCACCTCCAAGTCTGAGGTCATGACTCTCAACCACAAATGGGCGGGCTGCTCTCTCCAAGTTAGGGATGAGTTACTGCCCCCACCGGAGGAGTTGAAGTATCACGGGGTCTTGTTCATGAGTGGGAAGAAGGGAACGGGAGATGGACAGGCAGACTGGTGCAGCGTCAGCAGTTACAGTATGCACACATCATTCCATTCTGTCGTGATAAAGAGAGAGCGGAGCTATTGATTTTTCAGTTGGTCTATGTTCCTACCCTCACATATGGTCACGAGCTTTGGGTAGTGACCGAAAGAATGAGATCACGGATACAAGCGGCAGAAATACATTTCCTTTGCAAAGTATCTGGGTTCAGCCTTACAGATCCTGCCAGAAGAGTTGGAGGAGGTGGCTGGAGAGGGGGAGACCCGGGCATTCCTGCTCAGACTGCTGCCCCTGCAACCCGGCCCAGGATTAGCAGTAGAAGATGGATGGATTGATGGATGGCATTTCAGGCTAGAGTAATGATAAACTGAATCTGAAGCGATTTCGGGACAGTTTTTACACTTCCCTCCAGTCGATGCACAAAAAAATAACATGCAGCATTCAGCCACAGCACAAAAAGGTGCTTTTGTTTATCGCCATGGTTTTACACGGCCCATTTTTCCCATGGTCTCCTTCGCTTCTTACTCATTCAAAAATATGCAAGGTCATCTGTAGCCCCCTAACAACGAGCTGAACGCCAGATTGTTCCGTACATCATTTGTCAGCCAAATAAGGATGTGGCTCATGCATCTTCCAACACTCAGTCACTGAACCTCAGTCTGGTCGATCAAGAAGAATGTATATCCTTCTTATGAGTCAAGTGCTAACATTCTACAACTGTGACAGAAAGTGATCACTGCGATCAGAAAAACCCACAAGTAAATTCTTGCTGCATTTATACCAGAGTAAGAGCAAAGGAAGCTGATGAAAAGAGCTGTAGGCCTCAGCGAAGCTCTCAATGTCCCAAAAGCAAGACAAAACTAAAGAGAAACTGGAAAGTTCAAGCTCAGAGACTAACACTAGGCCTCAATTAAGGATATATACTATACAAGCTGCATAGGTGATCCAGTGACAGATTAAATTATGCCGCTCAGTGATGATCTTGTAGCTTTATGATAAGGTGTGACCTAAAATTGATGGCCAGCATGTTCATTAAATGAGTCTGCTGTACAAAAATGCAATATCAATAATTCAACTCAAATTTGCTGTAAGTTGCTCGTACTACACAGAAGGGCACGTGACATCCGAGCATTTGCATGCAATAACAAAGAGCACACAGGTACATACAATGTGCTGAATTACAGATCATTGCAACACAAGAGATCTGAGTTCCTGCACAGAGCTCCTGAGTATTCAGAGTGAGTATTCCGCTTATCCATACTGCCCTCTACTGTAAGTCAGGCAAAACGCATGTAAAAGAAAGGGTGGGGAAACAGTCTCTAGAGATCTTTGAAAAAAATCCCCTGTCCTTAATATCTTTGGTAAGACAGAGAGTGAATAAACAAGTCATTATCTTCTATAGGAAATTATATTTTAATGGCTTATAGACTAAAAAAAATAACCATTAGTCATTGGGTTGCTGGATATTTCAAAATCACTTACTATCCCAAATCTTTAAGGCAGACACTTGTTTAAATGTGAATATGATCCCAGCATGAAGGCTCACGGAATCAAATCCCAGATCATTTCATATCAGAAACCTTTTATAAGGAAGAGATTATGCCATATTCTGTCTGTGCATGTGTGTGTGTGTGTGCGTGTGTGTGTGTGTGTGCGTGTGTGCGTGTGTGTGTGCACCCACTAACAAAAAGAGGGCAGGAGATAACACAGAAATGAGGCAGATGGAGAGCACCTAGATAAGAACGAGAAAGCAAAGCCTTTCGCTTCAAATGGCATATGGTGGCAAGACAGCCGTGTGGACTATAAATGAGGCAAGGACACCCAGGCAGACGACGGGAGGGAGCTGGAGACAGAACCGGGGAGACGGAGGAGGACGGGGACATGCTATGGCATCATGGAAAACGCTGAAGCCAGCTGAGCTCCTGCACGCTGCCACCTTCTGGAGGCATTTGGAAATGCGTGATACGTGTGGACTAGCCAGACTGGAGCTGTTCTTCTGTTGAAGTAACTCCCCTGTCCTTGGTACAACGGCCCCCGTCCCACAGGTGCACTGTTGACCACACATGTTTAAATTAGCTGCTGAGGCGCACCCTCTACCCCCCCCAGCCCGCCACGACCCATACCACCCCCATGCTACCCCACTGTACCAGGCTAGATAAATATCATCATTCATTCGTATTTTAAGCCTCCTGAAAGCGCACGGTGTAGAAAATATGCTGAAGCGTATTAAGGTTATCCCTCTGAATAATGCAAAGGTCATGTTTATACAGGCACATGTATTTTTATATATATAAAAAAAAAAAAAACATACATACTGATTAGAAAGGCAAATTGCTGCACTGTAGTCACTGTAAGTCTGTCACTGCTATTGTTTCTCAGTTAGGGCTTTAGATTAGGGATCCATGGTAAGACACGTCTGTATCCGAGGCAAAATGTTTTGATTCAGAAAAAATAACTACGTACGCTATGTTTTTAGATACCACGTATGTGGCAAAAATTGCATTTTGATCAGAAGTGTCCAGAAGAATTCACCATAGCATTGACCACAGGTTTAGAAATATTTATGTTTTCTGAGGCAAAGTGAAACAAAAATGTCACAGCCAGAAAATAAGCTACCATCATCTTTGAAAATATCAAACCACCCAGACTCAACAGGGCTCCATTTCACAGCCTTAATTAAACACTTCAGGTAAAGCTGACTAGGGCTGTCAGACAACTATTTTTCTATAGATTAATCTATTGACTATTCTATCGATAGGTCGATTAATCTAAATGATTAATTTTCCTCCAGAAAATTAACTTGACTGTTTAAGTTAATTTTATTTCGAGAACAACAAGCTGTATGCAATTGCAGGACTTTAGATAATGTACTTTTTGGCACTCTACGAACATTAATTTTTGCCCACAATTCAACAAGCAGATTAGTAGTATGCCTACTA